CTACGCGCGATTTTGTCGGCGCGCAATTTGAGTAAGGCGTAAGACGGAGATGTAGTGTCGGCTGGTCGCCTCCACACCTTTTTACGCTCATTGAACGTCGTTGAAAGCGTGGACTGCGGTGGAAGTGATGGAAATGGTTGGATCGCGGAAGCAGACGAGGGAAATCGTCGATCAGCGATAAATAAAAAATAGAAGTAGGCTTCAATGGAACGACATGGCCTGTGAATCTCGAAACATCGTCGATTCTTTTTGGAAACTTTTCAACGCCTATTTGCCGCGAGGCCGAGGGGCTTCGTCAGCATGGAAATCAGCAGTGAATCGCGTCGACTGGCGTCACGACGAACGGATCAAAGCCGCTTTTGTTCCCACGTACGAAAAGTCGTTGGAGTGGTCGTGAACGAAAGTAGGAAGTACACGTATATTCTGGATCGGCGCGACAGAGTTCTCTTGGTTCTGAATTATCGTTGAACGGGTGGAGAGAGCTCCCTTTACAATCCTGACGAACTCATCAGTACGCAATTCTCATTTCACCTCTTTGGACAGAGGATTTTCGCGGATTTCAGAGTTTCAGAATTTTATTTCAGTCTAGGCGCTGAATACTTGCAAATTGTATTTTTCATACGTGGAAAATTGATGGAAGTAAACTACAAACACCTGTGAAAAGCGACAAAGTGAAAGGAAGTCTACGAAGAGCTTGTGCTTATGGATCAAAACGAGCTCAGAAGTGCATTATTTCCTGTGAAGAGATATTTTAAAGGTGTATTCTATATAGTATGATCGCGATTTTTTATCTTCATTTAGACTTCAAAAAGAAGAATATTACTGAATTTGACATGTATATTTTTTTAACCGAATAGTTTAGTTTAATTAGTTTATAGTTTTCTGTATTTTCATATAACACCATTAATATATCATTTATGCAAAATTATTCTATATCTTTTTTTTTTTTAATAATATATTCAAAACATCGATTCTTTTAAAGGGAAGAATAGCTGGATAAGGGGATCAATTGTCCTCTGAACCAAATTCGACTTGCGATTGGCTACTCGAAAAAAAACAATACATGCCAAGTTTCAAGAAGGGATTAAAGTACAAAAATCGAAAATCGCATTATTGTTTGATTTCTCCTAGAAAAATGTATTAGAAATTTTGAAAACGATTTAAGGCATTTAAGATAAAGAAACATATATTATTGAATTTTCAAAAAGTTTTAATTACAAATTTTTGCTGAGAAAAATAAAGGGAAAAATACTGATTTTGTTACAAACGAGTGCTTTGTACAGATAACGTCACTCGTTAAACCGAAGATAGATGGAAGATTATTTCGAGAAAAAGAAGCAACATCCCGACGACTTCGAAGATTTCTCTTAAATATTCCCGAGAGGTGTCATACTTTGTCTGTAATTGTAATGTATTTCTCAATTACTAGCTAAAATATGAGAAAGGATTTTTTCTTACCACGTCTCGACTGTCAGCTTCTCTGATAATGCCGTATCTCGACGGTAACGGATGCGAAATTTCCTGCGATTCTTCTCTACGGTCGCCTCATCGCGCTTCCTTCCCCTTATCCCCTCTGCCGCGAATTTATGCGAGACGCAAAACTTTTCCGCTGACGCCAGGAGCCGCTCGTTCCTTCCTTGAAAATCACAAAGAAGTCTTTATTAAAGAAAAAAGAATGAAGAATACTTTTCCATAAAATGAAGAAACCTGAGGCGGAATTGTTTGTCTGGTATTTTCTGCTCCACTAATAGCTAGTTCACAAGACCGTTTGTAATGCCCGAATATATTATACTCCAGGGATATCACAACAATTTAAGCTGCATTAAGGCTCCGGAAATGTGTTTGAAGTCGACGGAAACTTAGAAGGAGCAAGTTGTACATCTAAAGGTAATCCACCACATTTCTCTCCTTAATCCGTTATCTGGAAAACGGTTCTAGCAAACTCGGTAATCCCGCGATCCTCGTGAAATTTGTGTTTGTTACGAGTGTAATTGAATCCGCAAAAGAAGCTTATTAGTCGTGTACGTGAACGGCGAATGAATTTTCGTCGAATCGTGGCCGAAATTGAAAATGTTAAACTACATGTTCACTTACCCAATTAGCTCTAAAACTATTGAGCCGGTCAATTTATTTCACGCTTTTTGGACTTTTTTCCAAAGTACTGTATTATCGACAAAGACTTCGTGCAATCTTTGGTGAGAATTATTGCATTGAGGAACGTGGTACATATTGCATGTAAACATAATAGCTAAAGAAAGTTAACACTCAACTTGTCAATAAAGATTTCATCATACAGATGTTATTTGAAACATTTATTAATTATTAAATTCAATTTAACGGATAATTGTTCGAATCTTCTGAGGAATATTTTGATTCATATCTATAATGTCAATTTTGAAAACAGCTGCTGATGATTTGTTAAAAAGTTCAGCAATTTCTCGATAAGATTTGCCTTTCCCGCGAATTTTAATATTTTTCGTTTCTCATTTCTTTGGATTTGTGCTTTTTTCGAATGAAAAATTCACCCATTCCTTTATAAAAGTTACAGTTTGCATGTTTAAAATGAATTCTTACTTTTATAAATTTGTTTACAAACCTTAATGCCAACGTGTTCAAAACCATATTTTTTGTAATACAGGATTCTAGTTTAGGAATCGGAGAAAACTTATGAGTATACGTCATATAATTGAAAAGTCTTCTACTATTTACTTATTTTTTCAAACAGAGTCGTACCGATCTAATAAAAATTGCAATAATCTATCGTATTATTTCGACGAAACGATTTTGCAAAATGATCTAAATATTGATCAAGAAGTACACATGGTGACCAAGACGATAACGTTCGAGGCATTTACAGCTTTCGAAAAGGGTCTTAGATAGTTTCAGGCATTAAAGGAATGTAATATCACAGAACTATGTAATTATATCGAAACAATTATACATGATGCCCCAAAAATGTTGGAGTTCCTTGAAAGGGGTGGTTCAGGAGATGATTTGAAACAACTTTTTGCTTAGCGAAGATGTTGTACAAGGCTTCGTTAAGGAGATATTAGAAAACTCCGACTAATCAGAGCGCAAGTATACCGGTGGAGCGCCCGCAGTAGTATAGGCTACGCGCTAGACAGCCGCAGTAGTATAGGCTCCGATTGGTCAGGGTTTTCTGTTAGTATCTCCTTAACGCCTCGGACAACATTTTCGCTAAGGAAAAAGTTGTTTCAAATCACCCCCCGAACTACCCCTTTGAAGGAACTCCAACATTTTTTGGACACCATGTATAATGGAGTTGTCATCAAAATTTGAAATCCATAGGATTTATTTCTTCAATTTCGCGAAGAAGAACGATTGAACAATATTGTTTCTTCGAATTTATTGAACAATCGAATTATATTTATTTTATTTCACATTGTCTTAATTCTTAAATAAAATTAATTACCTACCGTTTGTTGTTCTATTATATAAAATTTCTGTTATCTGAACAATTTTGTCTTCCAATTTTGTTGTTCCACTTAGACGGTAATATTGTATACTTACAACCGTATCGCAAGTGAACCAGCCAATGTTATTACCCACAGTCGTTTCTACATACGGACGACTTTGTCTGTCGAGTCGACAGTGTCGACTAGCTTAAGATATGGAGAGGATGCTTTCCACGCGATTCTTTTCGTGAGAACCTTTCTCCGTACCCTTCAATCAGTTTCCGTTTGTCACCGCGAAGGGATCTCGAGACGGATCAAAGCGGCGAAATAAATTTTCCTCGAGGAGTCATAATAAAGCAGCTCATTCCGCACCAGCACTTTTCCCGTTCGTCTTCTTCTCCGTCGCTCCTATTTCCATTGGCCCGTCTTCCATTCTCGTCAGTCCTCGACCTCGTCGTCCGCTGCTTCTTCTTCGTTTCGAGACCTCCATCTCGACCCTTTTACAGGCAAACTCGCTTCAAATTGCCCCTGGAAATCTCATTTCCACTTGCCAAAAAAAAAGAAATAGAGAAGCAAGAAAAAAAAGAATAAGTAGAAGAAGTATTACACGCCGTCGCCGTCAGGCACGTATACACTCGGCCCGATGTCGCGCGATAGGGGACACGGACAGAATGAGACTGTTAAGGGCCTCCACGGGGCGGTGAAAAAAAAAGGGAACCATGAAGAACGTCACCGGTAGAAGTAAGCAGATGAAAGGAGATAGGAATCCAAAGACTCCCTTCTTGGAGTTTTTCTTTTCCTGCCACTTTCTTGAAGATCATCCACCGATAAGAGCGACGTTTCGTGAAAATCCACTTGTCCGGGGTTGACGCGTTCGAGTGACAGCGATTAAAGCGTCCCGTGTTCCTTTAACGCAAATACATGCATACACACGCGAGACCTTTAGCGGATCCAGAGCAAAGATCCATAATTTTGATTGCTTTCACAACCAACAAATTTCACCTTCCTTCGTTTTGGGATAAAAGTCGTCGACGTGGAAATAAATTAAATTATTTTTCGTGCTGTACTTTATTACAGTGCAATAAAGTACAATTACTGATAGCGAATTAAAATTAATGCAGCGACCTAAATAAAACTGCTTCACCCAACTGTCACATAATTTGCTCCAACGCAAGCATTGCCCAATTAAATCTTTTATATAAAACAGCTCTTTCTAAAACGAAAGAATAACAAGATATTTCGAGTGACAATACTTATTAACTCATTCTCTGTACTATATCGCGGAATGAAAATTATTTTCCACGGGAACAATCTGTTCACTGGTGCTTGCTCTAACAAGCGGTTAATTAGTTCACGAAGAGTGAATAGCGAAAGAACCGACGAACAACAATGGTTCGAGCGTATGCCGTTTCGCGTGGGAACAGATTGGGGAAGGTGGTCCATTGTGAATAAGGCAGCGTTTAGCAAACCATTGGCAATGCTTCCCCTCTCGTGCCACCCCGGCCGGTTTCCACTTAACCTTAAAACACGAATTCTCGTCTACGCTACGCGAAGATTGATCGAAGTTGTTCCGGTGTTTTCCAGGAAGTGGCTGAGCACCCGTGGGACAACAAGATTCAGGGTAGAAACACGAGAGTCCGAGAAAAGTCCTGGACAGACGAGAGGAGCGTGATTGAATAACCGTGGGAAACTTAAAAAAAGAACTCTGGGTCAAGGTGAGCAATTTTCGTTTTTCCCCACAGACTCGAGGTCTGGAGCCTCGAGCCTCTTATTTTAAATCAATATTTCAACAGCTCTTTGTTTAATACTACCACTACTATTAATAATAATTATTGTGATGGTCATTACATTGAATGTACCGTAGTATAAATAATTATACACCCTCGCTCGTACATATGTGGACACTTACTACTTTCAATGAATATTTAATATACGCCGTAAATTATTACTATATGACTTTGTTGCTAAATTTTATATTGGATATGCATTTAACAACATTTAATAATATTACATGTTTTGACTGCCATATTCAATTTAATCTTTTATTATGACGTGGAAAAAAAGGTGTACCCCCTTATGTGACAAATCGAGAAAGGAATACAATTTGAGATTTTCTTTAAGGAGTCCAAAACTAAATTAATGAAAGGTTGAAATTGCAATAATAAGTCTTTTAACACAATTTTCAATATGAATTTGAATATGAATGAATGCCAAACAGGAAACCAAAAGAGAAATACCTTCAGTGGTGCGACAATCTCAACTTTTTCTTAAAAATATAAACTGAAAGTTTCAATATTGAACGGACTTATTCTATTTTGATACAACTATCGCGGATCTCGTGGCAGACGGGAGCTCGAAATTTCCTCGAATTTCTTCCAAGTCCAGACAGACGATCCCAGAACAGTGGAAACTTTTGGATAAACTTTGATCGTCGGTTGCCAGTGAAAGCGCCTGGGAGTTGGCAGCGATCGTTGTCTCTGCCGCTAATTAATTTCGGCTCACCGATTTCTCCGAAAGTTTCAACGAGGTTCTGGCTACTGTAACTTCTTGCGGGACGTAACCTTGTAGTCAGATGAGGTAGAGAAAACAGGACGAGCGATGGAGTAAGAGAAGAGATGGACGGAGCGCTTGTCGTTGAAATCCTAGAAAGCCTCAGGGTCAGACGAGAGGGTAGTAGAGGCATTTCAAGTTCGCCTAAGCAGAAACAGACTCGTTTCCCAGTTAACACGAATTAATTCTGAAAGTTCTACAAGGTAACCCTCGAAGGGTTGACCGACGGTGTCGAGCATCAAGCCTCCAAATGCGAGGGGGATGGTTACTAATTTTGATACTTCTTTCAAACTTTCCAGGGGTACTTCGCGCGATTGTCTATAATGCAAGAGCAACACCTGTTGTAGAACATATTAGGTTTTTTTTATTGAGTAGTTCAATAAATATCCGAAATCATTTATTCTTAGTGGGAAAATTTAAATTGGTCTAAATGAGGGTAAAAAATTTCATTAGGTTAATGAATTTTATCGTTTTAATAAATTATTCCTAAAGAGCATTAAAACCAGTAACTATATATTCCGATCATCTTGTTATACCTAACCTACATTTCAATATATAGAGTGAGGCATTTAAAACAGGCCACCTCAATAATTCGTTTACTTTTAGGGGTAGAAAAATAAGTGTCGAACAAGAGTTGTTTGATTTCAAAGGGCCACGTAATGTGGAGCTAAAAACTTTTTTATCGATGGAAGCGTAGAGGAGATGCGAAGGTAAACTCCGTTTTTTCAAATAGAACGATATAGTTTCTTATACACATTCTGATAGAACTTTCTAAAACTGTCCAATTATCTAATATCAAAAACAAATGTGAATATTTAAGATCACGATCATTTCTTACTTGGATGAATGTGGGTTTACGCTATTGTAACGTCATCTATTGGTAAAACAAAACGAACTTTGCGAACAACCTAATACATATTTAATTTAATTTTTCGCGTTGAAAAATCAGCTGCGGTTGGTTCCATTGTCACTGAAACGTTCTGTATATTGGATCAGGTCGATCGATAATCTGCTGACATCACGATTAATTCGAATCGTTCGTCGGAGGTAACAGTTTCCATATGGATGGAACAAAAATTCTAGCAAAATTAACGATCTCTGGATCTGTCCAATTAATCATGAAGGCGAGCTTTTCCGTCATTGATCACCTCGACCGTCCTGACGTTGCTTTCTAGGCAAGAAACCGACAGAAGTTCAGGCTCCCGGGGGTCGCGGGCCTCCCATGTTGCAGATATATATACATCTATGTATGCAAGCGAATCGAGCCGGAGCAAAATTTCAGACCTGGAGATTTCGTCGAACTAATACCCCCGGGGCAAGAAATTGCAAACAAGATCTACTCGGCGCTTGAAATTAATCCTTCGCGTGCAACAGATGAGAGACGCCGCGTAGCGAATAATTCTCCTGTAACCCTTTTTATTTTCATTCATGTTTTGCTCAGAAAAATGAGAATGGTTTCATCCATCCGTGGTCGAACCTAAATTCAGTGAACATTACTTTTGTTTTTTAATTTTTTTTTTCTAAATACGCATCAAGCTTTTTGTAATGAATATGAGACAGCAAAAATAATTATAAGGAGTTTGTTATTCATAGTATGATAGGGAAATACACTAATGTGTATTTCTAATGGAAGGCATTGAATAAAAGATACAACAAACCATCGTAGTTCTCTGCGATCACTAAGCGAGTAGTTTTGAAGGTACTTTCACAAATAAACGCCATGTTATCCCAAACTGTCTATCGATTTCAATTTTCCAAAATACCCCTACTTCAAACTTTTCTATAGCATCAAATTTCCAAGGCATGAGGCATATATTTCTCTCAACACGAATTAAAATTATAATTAAATAGATTGTAACATAGTTTTATACATAAGTCCTTATTAGAGGATCTAATACTTAATTTTTCTTTGTTTATTTTTATATTATAATAACTAGACTGCGGATCTTTATGCAAAATAAAATTTTCGCGAATATGCCTACAAAAAAATTGAACCTAAATAGGAATTTATTTCATTCCGAAAATGTTATAACATGAACTTTATTTTCAATACCTTTTATATTCATGCATATTTTTTCCATTTTGTAGTTTCTTGCACATTCAAATTTCCTATAAATGCATAAAGATCCGCAGTCTAATAATAACACATACTATGTAGTAAGTCCACCTAGCAGACCCGAAACGAAACGCACTCTCTTTCCTCTACTCTTTCCTCTTTCACCCTTTTCCCTTTACAGACCTCCATAGTAGTATCTACTAACAAAGTACAATTAGTTTCAAAAATTGATGAGTCTAATCCCTCCCCCGTTTCCAATGTATATCCGTATCCATTCTCTTGCAGAACAGAGGTACCTTCGTTCCAGCGTTGCATACAGTTGTGCTGATCAAACAGAAACGCAAGGGGTTCGTAAAAAGTCACCCGAGCCGGCTGTTGCTTTAAATTAACCTTCCCCACTTCTTGTTGCGAAGTGGCTTCGAGTACGTTTTACGAACGCTTTTCAATCGCGAAAAAGGAAACGCGAGTTTCAAAGCGGAGAAATTACTCGGTGAAATAAGACGAACTACGTTAGTCGGGGATACGGAAAGTTTGCAGAACGGGTAAAAAGGAGGTGGATTTTTTCCAAGCGAGTACATTCTGATTCCGTCGGCATTACACGAGCCGCTGAATTCTGATCTGGCCAGCGAGATCCTGGCCCGTTTCTCTCTTCTCTTACGGTTCTTGCGCGAGTCTATCCTTGTCTGTTTCCTCGTGGCGTGCTTAAGCCCTGATTGGCGAGAAATCAATATCCACGGAAGACGGACGATCGGTTGCGTGAAGATCGAATAAATACGCTTCATTGGCCTTGGCAAACACTGGTGAATCGCGCTCAATCGAGCCTCCATCGATACGTGGAGATTACGTTTGTCTTGTTAACTTGTTCGAGCCAAGTGCAGTTCTCCGATGCACCGCAAGCCAAAATTTGTTCGACGCGCGACAAAAATATTATTTTTAAGAAACATCTCATTCCGCATCAAATCGAACACAAATGAAGTAACATCTCGGATTCTGACGAAGTTTGAATATGGTGTAGTCTTTAGTGATATTTGAACGTATCTCGAAGGATTTTTCGAAATTTTGATAATTGTCCCTTAGATCAAGGTATATATTTTACATTGTATCCATTCATTTTGCAAATTCAGTTTTAGAAGAATGGACCTAGAATTGCAGACTTATCACAACCTGTTCACCTAAGTTGGTACAATCAGATTTCCATTTGATTCGTTCTGTATAAACTTTCTTCCAAAGAATATAAAAATGTTCAAGAAGTTAAAACTGATAGAAAATATTTCGATTAAAATATATTGTACTTGCTTGTACGTGAATGATAAAGAAATCTCATACAAAAACGATGGAAACTTTTGCATGTCTAATATTATGCTACACTATGGCATCATTGTATTACCCCTAAAGAGATACAGTATGGTATGTGGGGGGCACGAAGTCCCCATTGAGAATCCCTGGTCTACGTGACCGTTCGACGACAGCAGGTCGATGCGAAAACAGTTTCTGGCTGCAGAAGGTTTTATCTCGTTCGAGTTTCGAGATTTTATTTAATTTCCTTGCTTCGTATCTGTCATATCGAAGTGTCATTTTGTTTCTCCCGTTCGACGCCTTTCCAAAAGTTCGCTCCTGCAAAAAGGAGGATGAAAAGTGTCTTAACATCGATCTATTTACTTAAAATATTCAGACTCGTCGCTTTCTCTGAAATGGATATTTTTTTCTTATACGAGGCATTAACTTTGCATACTTAAAATAAACATAACTTCAGCATAATTTCATGGAATGCTGTAGGAACTACCTGGACCAATTCATCGCCCAGAAATACATCAATATTTGATGGAATAGAGTGGTGTAATTACCTAAATGGTGGTGAAGATTAGTGCAACAACGTGACACATTCCTACAGTCAATGTAAAAAGTATTCGTACAGCACCCAATTTAAAATAAATGGTTCCTGTACGAATACTTATTACACTGACTGTATGTAATTGACTAATTGGAAGTATGAAGTATATGTAATAACTTCTGTACAGAAATCGCTTGTGGTCGCATGTTGTTCAGTGTCTGGCAAGAAGTTGGGGAGTAATTTGGAGACTCTTTTCTTTATGTTTTTTCGCTAAGTTT